TAAAATCGACCCTAATACCAAGTTTGCGACTATCAGCGATGTGCAGCAAGCCCAGATTGAGGCTGGCGAGGTGGAAATTAACACAGATGAATCCAGTGCCTCTGATTACCCTAGTGAGGCCGAAAGCTGCATAGTGGTTGCAACTTTACCTCGTTGATAGTTAATTGAAATTGGTGGTGTTGTTGCGATAGCATTATTTTTTGGTGTTTCGCATGGGGGGGTGTTTCGGAAGTGGGTACGTTGACTTGATGGATTTGGGGGAATCCGAGAGGGCTTCTCAACATTAGCATTGTGGAGATTGGTTTGGATATCGCATTATTTCAACTCGAATTCTCTAGATCGAAGTAATTCTAACTGTCCTTCCGTCCACTCTTAATACATATCTTCATTCTCAGTTTGAGTTTCTTCTTGGGAATCATCATCATTTCCTCGAAGATCCTCAGCCTGGTTCGTCTCAGTATCACATTTTCTTCAAAGGCCAGAACAGGTAGTACTTACGTCTTGACCGCCATCGGTATTCTGCAGCTCCTTCATCTTGTAGACCTGGTCCGGCAACTCAACGCCCTTCGGCGCAGTAATGATGCCAAACTCAACAAGTCCATCAAAGTGATGTCCCCACCAGCTGCGTCCGTAGAACCCGACAATTCTCTCATCACCCTGCACCTCTGTTCACTTGTCAGCGCCATCATTGAACTCAATCGCATCAGCCCACTTACCCAAAGTCAGAGTCTCCTCCCGCGTCTGATACGGGTCATCCTCATTCCCCGACAACGCGCCGCCGGCCTTGCCATTCTCAAAGTGAATCCTCATCCCACACAGAATGTTGTCTTCCCTCGCAACCTGAATCTTGACAATCTCCTCACCCTTGGGCCAATGCACATCCTCGGCCGCGTGCCCGCCGAACTCGTGCAGATGATCACCACCCGCCCACCTGCTGATCCGTGGCCCGCAGTTCACCTTGGTGCCATCGGGGAACTTGACGTACGCGCCGTCGAGGATACACCCCGTCCGGACGTCAATGCTCGACGCGCGCAGAATCTTGCCGTTGGGGGTTTCCTTCGTGAGCAACGTTGCCCAGCTCCAGAATTTGTCCTTGCCATCGTCAGACTCCTCCAAGTCCTTGGTCATCACAGACCTCTTGCGCAGCACGACGTCCGACCCGGGGATGCGGGCGTACTCCGACGAGGCAAACACCCTCCACAAATCCTTCACCGTCTTGCTCCTGCCATTCATCCCAAGAATGTGAAGCTTCAACTCCTCCTCTGGATCGAACCGGTTCTCCAGCTCCTTGCGCTCGAAGAACACCTTTTTGTACGGCTCCGCCACACTCGGCTCTTCCTCCGCCTCCCCGTTGAACTCGATCGACGCAATCCCCGCCACGCAGTAAATCTCGACGCCAACATCTTCCATCTCGGGGTTCACCACAGACACAACAGGCGCACTCGTCCTAGCCCCCGTCTCCTTGATCTTCTTATCCCCTGGCATCCAAAAGTGCGGAAGCATCCGGAACGAAAGCGCATCCCTCAGATCCCATCGCGCATCGTTCATCGTACGTTCGCCGTCGACATAAACCTCCGGCTCGCGCGTATGCGCCGCCCGCGCCGTCGTCGTCAAAAAGTTCCGCGCCCAGTGCCGCGGATACCCTCGCGCCATGATCCCCGTGGTATGCGGCGCCCCAAACGCGTGCCCGACCTCGTGCAGGAACGCGCCCTGCCCAACACAGCACGCCTCCCAGAACGTCGCGCACTCGCCGTTGTCATTTCCCACTGTTCGCCCGGGCACGCGCGTATCCCGCAGGGACTCCGTCACCTCCTCGACGAACCGCGGGAACGAGTACGCCAGGTGGCTGCCCATCATGCCGAGCGACACGCCCTCGGGGTTATGGCACCCCAGCGCGGCGTGGCCCAGGATCATGTTCTGCGCCGTGGAGAAGTGCGCGTCGAGAAGCATGCCCGCGACGACGGGGCGCGATGACTCCTCGAACGGCGCGCCGTGGGACGCCAGCGCATCGAGGAAGTAGTCGAACAGCTTGTTCCTGTTGCGCGCGGCCTCGTTCTGCTGCGCGACGTCCGCGTCGCGGAGCTCGGCGACGGTCTTGCTGGAGCGGATGATGTGTACCTTTGCGGTTGACTGCATTCGCGGCGCCGAGTCGTCGATGGACATGAAGGATTGGCTGGTTGTGTCGACGGCGAATTCCTCCTCAAGGCGGAAGGAGCGCCGGCCGAGGCCCTTCATGCGCATGTCTTCGGCGGTGAAGGCTTGCCACATGTATGCGGCCATGCGCATCTTGGCGACGGCAGCGTCGAGGGAGGAGTGCGCCGTTGAGAGGCGGCCGTATTTGGAGGGCGGGCAGTCGATGAGGAGGGGAGAGTCTTTGGCGACCATGATTGCGAGGTGCAGGGCAGGCGTCTGGAGGAGGGGGATGTAGTTGAGGGTGAGGATTGTGGGAGCGGGGTCCTCGGCGTCGGTGGAGGAGCGGGTGATTGTGAGGATGTTCTTGCCGGGGGAGAGGAAGGCGATAGCTTTGAAGCGGGAGGCGTCGAGTGGCCAAGTTTGGGGCGGGAATGTCTTGGTGGTGCCGTCGGATGATGAGATTGTAACGAAGTCGTTCCATGGGACAGTAGTGCTGTAGATACCTTTGATGATGATACATCGCTTTGTGAGAGATGGTGTTAGTGCTGGAAGATGGGTCAGGGTTGAATCGTGGTTACCTGGTGGACGGTTTCACCATCGTGAAAGTTCTCGATAGTAAGGCGGGCTTTCATGGTGGCAGCAGTGACCTTGGAGACGGTCTGGTGAGACACGCGCTGACGCTTGGGTGGAGGCATATGAGAACGCATTTCGACAGTTGATGTGTTGGTGTTTTCGAGTTCAATGTACATGTCCACTGATTGAAGTTCAGCGCAAAGAATAACTGTTGGAAAAGTGATGATAACGGGGCTTGAGGCGATGTGGAATGAATTCAAAATCACGTTCAGGAGATCTCTTTCTGCTCTTAAATACATGTCGAATGTTTCTGCTGCAGCCCCTTTCGACATCCGATGTTGGATATGGCCTCACAGACACGAGATGGCATTCAGGCAGAACTGCCCTGTGATTGGCCCACCCGCGCCGCTCTAGCCGCTCTGCCTAAACTTCCCCGGCCCCGCGCCCCACTTTCCCGGGCCCATCCTTGGCCGGACCGATCGCTCGGATTCGCCTCCAGGCAGCAGCACGTGGCGCGATATCACGGACCAAGGTGCATACTACCGCAAATCTCGTTAACCATGGCGTTTTGCACCATCTCATATGATTGCCAGCAAGCAAAGGATTCAGCGTGGCACAGCGGCGATGACTCACTACTACTGCTCAGATCGGTAGGCGCAAAGCGATCGTAGACGCATCCATAATAACATTGAAGCCGTAGGCAAGCAATTGCCTCGCCACACGAACTTGAGGAGGGTATTCGGGGTGGAAATTTGAAGTGGCAGCTACTAGCCTTAATGAATGGTGAGGGCTGGTGGAGATCGAGCTGCCAGGGCTCTCGTGCATCTCTACCGTCACGATGTCGGCCCATATCGCGTAGCTCGTGTTTGAAATGCCCGATGAAGAAACTTTGCGACTTTTCACATTGACGTTCTGGCTTGATGTAAAGTTGAGGATCGGCCGTATGATAAAGACATCCTCATCAACGCAATTGCCTTGGGGAACTTGGGGATTCGCAGTGGCCAGATGCCTGCTGAGCACCACGGGAAAAGGGTGTCTATTCTGTTCCTTTAATGGGTTCTGTCAAAACTCATCTTTCTCTATCCCCAATCAGGGCTAGAAACCAACCCAAGTTACGATCCTATGACGCGAAATAGTTAACGATCATCGCTGAGACCAGATTGAATATTGCTAAAGCCTATCGCAGTGACTCACGGGCCATTGAAAAGTGAAAGCGCCAATGGAGAGCGCTTTTGTTGCGTCTGTCCAGGGCATTACGACAAAAATGTCTTTCCTTCAAAATGCAACAATGGGCTTTTGCCAGTGCTAATGCTTTGTAGCCAGTAGACGCATACTCGGCGACATAAGCTCTGGGCGTGGCCGACTTGTCAAGCAACAGACTCACTCCCGTGTTCTGGGGGACACATATTGCGAAGATCAAGTTCTGACGAACTATGCAGGAGCCCAGGTTGAAAACAACTAGCATGGGACAAGTACAATGGGAGTATCTCTAAACTTGTGTCATCGTCGGTCTTTTCCTGGATAAAGATCATTGATTGGCGTCTTGCAGCTTTAAGGTACATCCGTGGATTAATCGGACAGCACGAGCGACGGTGCGGAGACCCCAGAAGAAGAGGGCTCTCATGCAGGCGTACCTAACAAATGCACGTCCAACTGCAGAGCAAAAGTTGATGATCTTCCATTGGACTATGCGGCCCACCCTCGACTCCATACTGCAACTGATTGAGTCGCTTCATTTGCATCTATGCGGGGTTTCTTCTTGACTGGAAAAGCCGCCAAGATGCAAATGCATGCAAGAGGCTGATAAATCATTTGTAATGAATGCGATTTTCTGGCTATTAAAGCAATGAGCCCAGTCGGCAAAGCAAAACGCGATCATTTCACCGTATTTCTGCTCATCCAAAGGGAGCTAGCAGAGCCCTAATCTCTTGAAGCACGAAATGGACAGCAACTTGGAGTCATTGAGAGAGATTTCTCGCAAGTATTCAAAAACAATTCCACAGCTTCTCTCAGATATTCAACGGTGCCAGTCGACCCAGCAAAAGGATATCAGCATTCTTCAGAGATTGGATTGTCTTTATATACCCAAGCGACAACGAGCTGCTGCCTGCAAATTAATTGTAGGCGCCACCAATGCGACAATAGTCCGCATGTGGCGCCATAGGATCGATGCTACGAAACGAAAGGACTACATCGCTTTGTCATATACATGGGCTGCATCTCAATACGAAAGTGACGCTGCTGGATCTTATGCAGTCCAGGAAAGCTCAGGCGAGGAATTCCATCCCTCTCCAGTTCGAGCAACCATTTTCAATCGAATTGTTCAATACATGAACACTATCGACGTGGGGCTTCTCTGGATAGACCGCCATTGCATTGACCAAGACACCTGCGAGGACAAGGCATGTACTTGCGTGCGGTGTGAACAAAAGGCCCGCGCTTTGCAAGTCATGGATCTGGTTTACAGCAAAAGCTCTTACCCTGTGGCATTACTATCAAGACCAATCGAGTCCCGCTGCGAGCTCGAACTACTGGCTGATATCATGAAGAAGCGATTCAAAGCTGGAAATCGATCCATGACTGGCCGAATGCGCAAAAGAGCACAGAGAGCACTTCATTTGCTGGAATTGATGACCAGTGATCTCTGGTGGACAAGAGGCTGGACGTTCCAGGAGAACTATCGTGCGGGAATCAATATCAAGCTTCTCATACCTCTATCACCAGAGTTAGAGGCTTTGAAATTTCTAATGGATGATTCCATTACTGATCAGGTTGAGGGAGAACTATCCATCAAATCTGTCGATTTCATGGAGGCGGTCACTCTCTTCTGCGAGGAATACCAGAAAGCCGACCGCCACCAAAATGGAACGGAGACCTGTGTCATTCAGGGTATCCTGAGCAAAACCAGAAAGTACACTGTTATCCTTCCCAAACACGCATTCATGTTTCCTGCAATCGCCTCGGATCTGAGCAAAAGAAACCTAGGAGAACCTTGGGATATTCTCCCCATAATAGCCAACTGCTGTCAGTACCCTTACTATCTCGATGCACAAAAGCTACTTCAGAAGGACGCCAGTCGCAATCTATCAATACTAGCCATGTGTCTCATTAATGGGGAGATTCTTAACAACAATCCGTCAGGCCCATATACAGTGGCAGGAATGAATGTGTTTGAGTACTTGGAAAAACTATGCCTGCCATCGTTTGCAGCGCCTCCCGATCGAGACCTCACCTATCGCAAAGGTTGCCGATTCCACCCTATTTCCCTCCATGAAGCTGGCATTACGACTGAAGGATATCTATGGGAGCTTGGAGATATCATCAACACCAGGTATCTGTGGAAACCCTCTCGTCGCGCGTATCCCATCTTCAACCATGAGCGATTCTCAAAGGAGGAAGTTGATCAACTAGCTCGGCTTACAAAAAAGCTCGGGGGTTACCGGAGAGTTCCTCTCGCAGATGGTATCCAAAGGCTCTTAAGCAGTGGGAATATGGGTGAGAACATAACGTTTGCAAGGAGGCATATGGAGGCCATGGCTAAAGAGGTAGCGAGGGCTGTTGCTAAAGGACACCAGCTGAGACTTGGACGACTTTGCAGCGGGTGTGGCCCACAACAGCAAACCGCCATCTTCCTGTCGAACCATAAGTGGACATACAGGCTTCCAGAGAAGGAACATCAGGGGTACGTCTTCACATCCTCATTAGACAATGAGAATGCGAATGACTTACATCGACATGTATGTGTTGAAGTCAGCTGGGTAGGATCCGACGACAATATCCCTCAGCTGCACACCAGACGCGGGATTCTCGGACTGTGTTTTTTTTCGGGTCACAAACCGAGAGAGGTCAATTTCCCGTGGCCATCTTCGCTGTTGAGAGTATAAGCGCCGTGATAGAGTCAGCCTAAAGTCTGGCTAACAGCTGGACACTATCCAGCATCTTACTCAATGTAAGTGTTACGACCCGTTATGCAAGGATAACAGCTAACCGACCCACTTGGGCGTCGAGCGGCTAGGACAGGACATTTGTCCTGCAGGATCACGGGAACAACAGGGATTCACTCAGGAACGGAAGAACTATGTTACAAGTCACG